TCACATCTTTGATCCATTTTCCTCAAAGGATGCAAAACACCAAATGGAGAGGCAATTCACTAAAGTTCTGGAAGTCCTCAAAAAGCTACATGTCAACATTCTATTCATTGATGCGATCCTTCAAATCTCAAATTATTCCAAGTTTTTGAAGGAGGTGTTGACCAAAAAGAGGAAGCTGCCCGAGCACGAAACGATAGCACTATCTGAAGAATGCAGCTCGATCATCCAGCACAGGATCCCTCCCAAACTGAAAGATCCAGGGAGTTTCATTCTACTCTGCTCCATAGGAAATTTACCCGATATAAATTGTTTAATTGATTCAGAAGCGAGTATTAATATAATTCTCTTGCCTCTTTATAGGAAACTAGGATTAGGAGGTCCTAAGGTGGCATTTATTATCCTTCAACTAGCGGATCAATCAATGAAACATCCCTATGGAATAGTTGAAGACATGCTCATCAAGGTGGGAAAGCTTATTTTTCCAGCTGACTTTATCATCCTGGTATAGAAGAGACATATCAGATGCCGATAATCTTTGGAAGGCCATTCTTGGCTACAAGCCGAGCTTTGCTAGATTTTGATACTAATGAGATAGTCTTGAGGGTGGAGGATAAGCAACAGAGTTTCACCATGGAAAATCCAATTAAGCAACCTTCTTACTTGGAGGATTGCCAACGAGTGGATCATTGGGAGAGCTACAAAGGCAGGCCAAATACAGGAGGAATTATTGGTAGGGACGACAAGGGAAACATGATTGTGTGGAAAGTCAAGGATGAACCAAAAAAGTGCAACCATTGTCTGAAATGCAAGGCTGAAAATTCTCTTTTCAAACCACCATGAAGAGCCTAAAAACAACATGAGTCGAGCTAAAGACTTTAAACAAGCGCTTGTTGGGAGGCAACCCAATACTTCTATCCTTTTAATTTATTCTACTTTTTAGATTNATCCCGTTTCCCCTTAGATTTTCGACATGTTAGCAGTTTATTAGATATTAGAACTAAATAACACTTGTTCCAGTTACTTGATTTTAATGCTTTATATGACTGTATTGCGCAAGAACATGATGTCGCGCAACACTTAAACCAACTAAGACTAATGAGCTAACATGAGCAATAGCAAGCTAGCAATTGGATTACATTCCATATCAAGGGAGTCTTTTTCTTCATTGTCTTCCCCGCCCCTTTATATGCAGATTTAGAATTTAAGACATTGAGGACAATATCTAGTTTAAGTTTGGGAGTGGACAACATGAGTTTTCATTTTTTTTATTTTTTATTTTTTTCATTTTTTTGTGTTTGTATCATTCTTATGTTTGTGTATTTTTGTATGATTTTATTGCATTAGTTTAGATTCAAAAAAAATTGTAAATTTTAAGAATATTTTCTTTTTGTGTACATGTGTAAGTTATTTGGTCTGGCGGCAATAAAAAAAATATTGAATCGTGAATTGATATATATAAATGGTGAATAAATTGCATGTTTAGATTAATTTTTACTTTTTTATGTGAAATTTGATATATATTGAGCACGTGAATTAAGTTAAGCATTGTGTAGGAATGAGTTGATTTCATAATTGGATAGGTTGAAATAGCGGACCATAGATGCTAAATCCAAAATCACTAGATTTTACATCTTTAGACCAAATGTATAATAGTTTGGGGGATTTCACTGTTGTAGGAAGATGTTGAGATAAATAGGGATTCCATGTGTGAAATAAAAAATCTTATGTGGATTGTCTAAGGTCAATATGATGCAATTTAGTGAAAATCTCAAATTAGAGGTCGTTTTACTTATATAGGTGTTTAATGAGGGACATTACACTAATCAATGCATATAAAAAAAACACATTTTATTTGAAAATTTCTCTTCGTAGCCTTTATGACTCGAGTTATTAAACCTATAAGGGTGTTAAAACTTGTTGCCCTAAAGTCAACTGACTTAGGAGTCATCGGCCTAAAGTTTGTTACATGGGTCATTTAGAAAGTTTAAGGGAGAGAATGCTGCAAATAAAGAAAAAAAGTGTTGAAAAAAAAATTTGAGAGAAAAAAGAAAGGTGCATGAAATAGACGTACCAAATACCTTGATTATATCCCAAACACTTGTTTAAGAAAATTTGACTTTTGATAAGAGATTGTTAGCCTAATTAAGTCTTAGAGATTGAAACAATCAAACTTAATAGAGAATCCTTATTTATTGAGATATTGACTGGCAATTAGTGAGATTCACCTAAATTAGAGAGGCGAGAATAGTATAGAATTCAACCTTAGATCACACACTTGAAAATGGCGAAAAGAATAAGTTTGGGGGTGTGTGAATCTTACGAATGATGAAAGAATATATTTGACCATTGAGGGTTGAGAATTGAAACAACTCATGAATTCATAATGTTATGCTTAATTCTTTACACACACATCGATTTTACATTGGAGAAGTAAATTTTAATTTCTGTATTGTGATTTTGAAGTTGGGTATATATCTGATATTATGATTTCAATCATGAAATAAAAAGTCGGGTTAGCTAGCTAAAATTTTTGCTCTATTTGATTGACTGGCCACCAATTAGGTAATCAACATTGTGTGTTTGATAGGTTTTAGTTTTGTTTGAGGACAAACAAAGAATCAAGTTTGGAGTATGATAAGTGTAGTTTTACACTTATTCGAGGTTCTAAATGATAATATTTTACTGTTCTTTGGATAAAATACTATCTAATTTGTGTTATATTTCATTTCGTAGGTAAAACTCAATGTTTGATGAAGAATTGGAGAAAGAATGCAAAGATAGCGGAAAATGGCTTCATTGTATCAAATACAAAGTTTGGGAACTANAAAAATTGGAGAAATGAATGCAAAGATAGCAGAAAATGGCTCAATTGTATCAAATACAAAGTTCGGGGACGAAAATGCAAATATTCAAAAGTTACATTGAACCTCGTGATGGATATTTGAGAGTGTTAGACATCAATTGGATGAGGAAAGATGCCAAAGGGATTAAATATAGTCCAAATATTATCACATATTAACTTCCAACCGAAAAAGTTATGTTTGGATTTTCAATCTCACATCGAGACCCAATTTTGGCATGGAAAACTTTTGAAATTGGAAAAATGATATTTCTACAAGAGTTGCATCCCTCCGAGTTATCTTTCCAATGCACTTTGAATCACCTCAATCGGATATCGAGAGAGAAAGTTATGACAAAAATATTGAGAACAGTTTAGCTGCCAAAATTGAGCCTAAGGCCCGCGCCCTTGCCTGCAGGTGAGGCGCGCGCCTCACTTCAACTTGGTCTCGACTGAGGCCTACATAAAGGCTAAGGCGCGCTCCTCAATGTAAAATGGAGATAGAACTGTAATTCTTCTATTTCGTTTTGGTAATATTTTAGGGCACTTTTTGAGAGATATATAAGGGGAATTCCGTGGACTTTTAAGGGGGAGTCGTATTTTTTGAGAACAAAGGGAGAAAATTACATTGAGGAGAAGGAATTCACCATTTTGGATCCGATTTCGAAGGCTTGAATTTCCAGATTTTCTTCAATTTTACATGATTTGGTTGATGACTTTCTTTTATTTTCTATGTAATTTTCATATCGATATGCTAAGCTAAGTTTATTTGTATTGGATGGATGATGAGACTACTTGATTTCTGATTTTTAATTCAAGACTTGTGATTTTTAGTTAATTCTTGCGTTNCTTTTTCATATTGTTTTAATGTTTGCGCACCATTAGATAAATGAGTTGCTTATTCGTAGTGTTGGGAAACTCACGATAGGTAGAACACTGTATATGGAACACATAAAGAATAAATATTAGGAATAATATTTGTGAAGCGTGCGATCGTGTGATAATCCTATGTTTTAATGCATGTTTATCATATGAATGCGAACTAAGAATATGATCGTGTTGTGGTCAACATAGGTTTATTATATTTTGGAAAAGAATAATAAATAAAAGTGGAATTATCGGTCGTCAAAAATGTAAGAATTGAATTAATTATCACAAATTGAGAATTGAATTCTAGAGTCAAGTAGTGAATTCCGAAATCCAATACATTCATCCAGTCTTGATTTAAAATCCACTTTCTTACTTTTATTGCTTTCGTAGTTATAGAACGTAGTTAATACAAATCAATCATCTTTTATTATTGTTACGAATTTAGATATATCGGATACACTAGAATTGAACCTTATTCTCCATGGGACATAACTCACTTATCATAATTATTACTTGTACAACGAACCTTAAGTATTCATACATTGCATGTATAAATGTGTGCAATTCTTGTGCATTAAAGGTTTTATTTTTTATTGATGATGCAATTTGAGTACTTCTTTCCAAGTTCATAGTAGAAAGTAGCATGTTAAGTAATTTTACATTTAACAGAAGATGCTACAAAATACGGTACTTGTTTAGGTACAAACTCACAAATTAACTGAGTGTGCCCGCTTGTGTTTTAGTCGATGAAAGGTTGGATCGGCTTCAAACTTCAAAAACCTAAATAATGTACACATATCCCCTATTTAGTACTTTTAAATGCGGTAATGCACTTAGTTGAGTTCAATTTGTATCGGTGATAATTTAATTTGAGTTCTTGTCTTTCAGGGTGGTATAATCTCGAGAAACCAAAAAAAAAGTAAAAGCTTTTGATTGTGGGGAGTACGATTCATGCATTGAGAAAGCTAAGTTGTTCACATCTACTTCATCTTAGAAGGTGGGGAAATATGTCTCGCAAAGATGACGCCATTGTTCATGTACTAGAGCTTGAAAGTGCTTACATTTGAAAATACCACTTGTACTTCTCAAAGCAGGATATATACACAAGGCGGGGTCCGTGGGAGCATTCATTTGATTCTAATGAAGCAATTAAAAAATTTGACAAGGATTTCAATATTTCAAAAGATGATTTAAGATTCAACATAGAAACTGTTAGCATCCATTGTATCATTCGAGGAGTTGGAACGTGCAGGGCCAGCTAAGAAACAATCTAGTTCATTGAGAACCGCAAATGATTGGAAAGGTAACAAGGTGGTAGCAAGAAGAATGAGAGGACTTGAGGAGTGGTTTCATGACATACGTCTCCTTGAAATGTTTGCACATAAATAACATGAATACGATATATGTATTCATACATTACATGTATAAATGCATGCAATTCACGTGCATTAGAGGTTTTATTTGTTGATGAGTACAATTTAAGTGCATCTTTCCATGTTCATAGTAGAAAGTAGCATGTTAAGTTTTTTTTTTTTCAATTAACAGAAGATGCTACAAAATTTAGAACACATGTAGGTGCAAACCGATATATTCATTGATTGTGCATGCTTGTGTCTCAATCAAGAAAAAGGTTAGATGGGCTCCAAACTTCAAACACTTCAAAATTAATACCAATTTCCCCTATTTAGGTTCTTTAAATGACATAATGCACTTCCTTAAGTTAAATCTGTATCAATGACAATTGATTTAAGTTCTTGCCGAATCTCGAGAAATCAAAAAGAGTAAAAGCTTTTCATTGCAGGGAGTATGATTCATGCATTGAGAAAGATAAGTTGTTTGCATCTACTTCATCTAAGAAGATTGGGAAATATGCTCGCGGAGATGATGCCATTGTTCATGCACTTGAGCTTGAAAGTGCTTGCATTCGAAAAGACCACCGGTACTTCTCAAGTAGGACACATGCACAAGGCAGGGTCCATGGGAGCATCATGATGTTGATGAATCACCAAATTTATTGAAGAAAGTAATTTTGACAAGGATTCAAATAGTTCACAAGATGAAACTACTATTTACATCCACCATTGTTTTATATATATATATATATAATTTTAAAATAATATTATTTTTATCCACATCATATTCCAATATTGTCCTTATTAAATTTATTCATTTAAACACTATATATCCACGCCAATTTCAAAAGTTTAAAAAAACACTAGTTTCGTCCCCATTACATATAACTTTAACATTCTCACAATAGAATAATTTATTCTGTAGACCATAGCCAAGAAAAAACAATATTGACAAAATCAGCAAAACTCGAGAATCCGGCAACTTGATGATCAAAAGGGTGTTGAAATTTAATCCCGTTCCAACAACATTAAGCTCATTCATTTCTAATCCATTCTTGGCCTGGTACCTGCAAGCCAAATCGTCTATCCCTATCCAAAGAATGCTGAAATGAGTGGGAGCAGCAAGAGAGTTTGTAGATCATTTGTAATTGTCACAAAAAGATAAAGATAAAGAAAAAGAAAAAAAGAAAGTTGATTACGGGATAAAAAAAGAAAATTTCGAAAAGAAAGAGGAGAAAAAATTAAATGAAAATAAATATTAGTTGATGAATTTAGAGTGATGTATTTTTTATTTAATTTTATATATGTCTATTTAAGTAAATTTACATAAAATTAAAAATATAATATTATCTTATTTTATTTTATTTTGAAAAGTGGATATAAATAGCAGCTCTCTTAAGTATTCGTATATTGCATTTATAAATGCGCGCAATTCATGTGCATTAGAGGTTTTATTTTTGTTGATGACTGCAATTTGAGTGTTTCTTTCCATGTTCATATTAGAAAGTAGCATGTTAAGTAAATTTTTATTTAACAGAAGATGCTACCAAAATTTGGAACATGTTTAGGTACAAACATATTCAGCGAGTGTGCATGCTGGTGTGGTAGTAAAGGAAATGTTGGATGGGCTCTAAACTGCAATTACCTCAATAATAATATAAATGTCCCTTATTTAGGTACTTTGAATGTCTTAACGTGCTTCCTTGTGTTCAATCAGTATGAATGATAATTTGATTTGAGTTCTTGTCAAATTCCTTTCAGGGACTGGTTCAAGAAACCAAAAAGAGTAAAAGCTTTTCATTGGAGGGAGTACGATTCATGCATTAAGAAAGCTAAGTTGTCTACATCTACTTCATCTAACAAGATGGCGAAATATGCTTGCAGAGATGATGCCATTGTTCATGCACTTGAGCTTGAAAATGCTTGCATTCGAAAAGATCACCCTTACTTCTTAAGTAGAACACATCCACAAGGTGTGGTCCATGGGAGCATCATGATGTTGATGAATCACCTAGTTCATTTGATTCTAGTAAAGAAAGTATAGGTCATGAAAAGGACTTGAGTAGTTCAAAAGACGATTCAGATTATGCATAGGACCTGTCACATCCATGGTATCATTTGAGGAGGTGGATCATGTAGGTCCAGCTAACAAGCAATCTAGATCATTGAGTACTCCAAATGATTCGAAGGATGGTAGAATGGTAGTGAGTGAGATAAGAGGACTCGAGGACCTAGACGTGGTTCACGTGATATACATCTCCTTCAAATGCTTGCACATAAATAGCATGAATGTGATTAAGTTTTCATAAATTGCATGTATAAATGTGTGATATTCATGTGGATTGGAGGTTTTTTTTGTTATGAGTGCAACTTGAGTGCTGGTTACCATGTTCATAGCAAAAAATAGCCTATTAAGTTATTTTTCAGTTAAATAGGAGATGCTACAAAATTCTGGACACATTTAGGTACAAACTAACATATTTCCTTAGTGTACTTGTGTGTTATTCAAGGAAAGGTTGGAGGGACTCTAGACTTCAAGCACCTCAATAATAATAATAATAATAATAATAATAATAATAATAATAATAATAATGTCACTTATTTAATTACTTCGAATGTCGATCAGTGATAATTTGATTTGAGTTCTAACCAAATTTCTTTTAGGGACAGGTATAATCTCAAAAAATCAAAAAGAGTAAAAGCTTTTAGTTGCGGAGAGTATGATCAATGCATTGAGAAAGCTAAGTTGTTCTACATCTACTTTATCTAAGAAGATGGGGAATTATGCACACAGAGATAACGCCATTGTTCATGCACTTAAGCTTGAAAGTACTTGCATTCAAAAAGATCACATGTATTTATTTCTCAAGTAGGACACATACACAAGGCGGGGGTCCATGGGAGCATCATGATGTTGACGAATCGTTGAGTCCATTTGATTCCAGTGAAGAAAGTAAAGATTTTGACAAGGATTCGAGTAGTTCAGAATACGATTTAGATTCAGCATTCATTGTATCATTCAATGAGCTAAATCATGCATGTCCCACTAACAAGCAAACTAAGTCATTGAGAACTCCAAATGATCCAAAGGATGACAGGATGGTAGTGAGGGGAATGATGACAAAAGGACCTGGGGATGGTTCTCGTGACATATATCTCCTTCAAATGCTTGTACATAAATAACATGTATACAATTAAAGATTCATATATTGCATTTATAAATGCGTGCAATTCATGTGCATTAGAGATTTTATTTTTTGTTGATGAGTGCACTTTGAGTGCTTCTTTCCATGTTCAGAGCAGAAATTAGCATGTTAAATAATTTTACATTTAACAGAAATTAAGGAAAATGTTTAGGTACAAACTGACATATTCACCATGTATACTTGTGTGTTGAGGCAAGGAAAGGTTGGAGGGAATCTAAAGTTCAAGCACCTCAATAGTAATACTATTGTCCCCTATTTAAGTACTATAAATGTCATAATAAACTTCCTTTAATTCAATCTGTATGAGTGATAATTTGATTTGAGTTCTTGTCGAATTTCTTTTAGGTACTTGTATAATCTGGAGAAATCAAAGGAATAAAAGCTTTTCGTTGCAGGGAGTTTGATTCATGCATTGAGAAAGCTAAGTTGTCCACATCTACTTCATCAAAGAAGATGGGGAAATGTGCTTGCAGAGATTATGCTATTGTTCATGCGCTTCAGCTTGAAAGTGCTTGTATTCGAAAAACCAACCGCACTTCTCAAGTAGAGCACATACATAAGGTGTGGTCCATGGGAGCATCATGATATTTATGAATCATCGAGTTCATTTGATTATAGTGAAGAAAGTAAATACTTTGATGAGGATTCAAGTAGTTCACAAGATGATTTAGATTTAGCATGGGAAACTGTCCATATACATCATATCATTCGAGGAACGGAATCATGCAGATCTGGCTAACGAGTAATCTAGGTCATTAAGTTAAAATAAGAAAAGGATACACAATAAAGGCATGTTCCTCGACAAAAAATTGAAGAGGATAGATTGGCTAAAAAAAAAGTTAAAATTTTGTCAATAGACATCTCGTGTTCTAATACTCTATGAGCAACCACAAAAATAAAACATTGTTCTAAGCATTTAGAATTCTTTTCATTATGTACCATTAGTGCATGTTAGGTATAATGCACGTCTGGTAAAGATTTTGATTTTTCATTTTTTCTTAATACTAACCAATGGTGTCTAACCTATGTTACTACCTATGAGAGCACACTTCAAACACGATTAATTATGTCTTTGAGTAGACCCCTCTTAGGTACGCCAAACTTCTGTCCATGTAGGGCAGGTTCCAGGAAGGGAGACCATCCCGTGCCCCATCTCTGCGGCAAAGGTTTATCAATACTCGATGTGACATCAATGGTTGATGCTGTCCCCTCACCCCATCCCATCCCACACTCAACACAACTCAACCCAACCCACCCCACCACACACACAAATTCTCTGAATTTTAGTTGACTTTCTTGAAATATAGAGTGGTTTTCCATATTAGACTACTTATTTTTTACACTTGTTTTTTTGGAGATGGAAAGAATGTCATATTGTACAATAATCTTAATCAATGTGTGAGCTTTTTTTGTGCTCTGTCGTAAAAACTAATCTCATCCCCTTTTCCATCTCTTGTTCATTTTTTATATTTTTCCAAATTTCTTTTATCAAGTAAAAGGCATTTTAATTTATAGTTAACGCAAATAATTCTCATTTCGATCCTATCAGAAAGTCAAAAAAGAATAACATCAATCGAGTTGCCTAGTTCAACAAATTTTCAAACAAAATTTAGTCCACTCTATCCTAGTCGAGAGGCGATACACGAAGTTTGAATGTCTAGTATTACCTTAACTAATTTGACCCTAGTAGAGCATGTACAACCTAAGGCGAGTACAAACTTCATGAAAAAGTTGAGCTATCTCAATTGGTTGGGTTTTGGATAAGTTTAGTCGACTCGAGTTCCTTACGTCGAAGATTTGTATGTATATATTTTTTCCATGTCTCATTTCTTTTTTTTATTTATTGCGTATTCATATAAATGTGTACAATTCACGTGCATTAAAGGTATTTTTGTAGCTACGTCCAATTTGAGGGCTTCTTACCACGTTCATGGCTGAAAGTGGCATGTTAATCAAGCAAATTTTCATTTAACAAAAGATACTACAAAATTCAAAACATGTTTAGGTACAGGGAGATGTGCTTGCAAAGGAGTAATCTTGAGAAATCAAAAGGAGTAAAAGCTTTTCATAGCAGGGAGCGATTAATACATTGAGAAATCTAAGGTGTTCACATCTAATTCATCTAAGATAGTGAGATATGCTTGCAAAGAGAATGCCATTGTTCATGCACTTGAGCTTGACAGTGCTTGTATTCAAAAAGACCGCATGTTGTTCTCATCTAGGACACATACACAAGGCAGGATTCGTGTAGAGAGCATCATGATATTGATGAATCGCCTCATTCATTAGATTCTAGTGAAGAAAGGAAAGATTTTGATGAGGATTCAAGTAGCACATCATTATATTGATAAATCACCTCAGTATATTTTTTCTATGCCTCAATTCATTTTTTCGATTTAGGGCTTGTTTGAAAAAAAAAATGTATTTTGCAATAGTGTTATGATGGAGAATGTATGGTTAAAAAATAAGGAAAAGCTCCAGGTTTGCAGGTAATATTGTTTTATTGAAGAATATGTAGTTAAAATGGAGTCAAATCATTGTTCAAGAATTCATTTTGATGGAAAAAATGAGGCTCAAACAAGGGCTTAGTATAAATGCGTGCGATTCATGTGCATTATAGGTTTTATTTTTTGTCGATGAGCACAATTTGAGTGATTCTGACCATATTCATAGCAAAAAGAAGCCTCTTGAAGTAATTTTTCATTTAACAAAAGATGCTACAAAATTCAAAACATGTTTAGGTACAAGTCGACATATTCACTGAGTGTACTGGAGTGTTAGTCAAGGAAAGGTTGGACGGGTTCTAAACTTCAAGAAATTAAAAGGAGTTAGGTTATGGGGATTATGATTCATGTATTGATAAAATTAAGTTGTTTGCATCTTATACATCTAAGTTGTTTCTCTTGAATGAACCATCGGAATTATGCTTCACCTTATAGACCCATTTCACACCAATGACATCTTTCTCACTTGGTCTTTCAACTATCTCCCCAGTGTTGTTTTTCTCAATAACTTCTATTTCTTCCTATATCGCTTTTTTCCAACACTTCTCCTTCATTGCTTCTTCAAAGTTATCGGGCTCAATCACACAAAAGTTGCATCTTGCAAGAACATCATTTAAATCCCGCATTTTTCTTGGGTTGAGCTTGATGATGATGAATTTGAACTTGGGGGGCTTGAGGGGATGCTTGGTGATGATAAATGTAAGCTTGAATGAACTCCATTTTCTTCATTTTGTACATCTTCAATGGCAGATTTTTGGGGCAGATTTATTGAAACTGGAATGCTTCTTTCAAGTTCTTNTTGTGAGCTATAACCAATGAAGATATATTTTTCACTTGCTTCATCAAGTTTGCACCACTTCTCTTTTGGCACTTGAGCATAGCAAAGACATCCAAACACTTTCAAGTGTGTTACCGAAGGTTTTCTCCCATTCCAAGCTTCAATAGGAGTCATGATCCATATCGCCTTTGTTGGAGATCGATTTAGCAAGTAAACGGCCATATAAACTGCTTCGGCACAAAAAGCTTTTGGAAGTTTTTTCTCATGCAACATTGATTTCGCCATCTCCATCACAGTTTGATTTTTCCTCTTGGAAACACCATTTTGTTGTGGTGTATAGCCAACTGTCAATTGTCTGTCAGCACCTTCAACTTCACAAAAATTGTCAAATTCGTTCGAATTATATTCTTTACCATTGTCACTACTTAAAACTTTTATAAAATGGCCACTTTGTTTCTCAACAAAAATCTTGACTTTTTTAAAGATTGTAAAAACTTCATATTTTTGTCTCATAAAATAAATCCATGTCATTCTTTTAAAATCATCAATAAATAGGATAAAGTACCTATTTTGTGAATGAGATGGTGTATGCATCGGTCCACAAACATCCGTATGCACCAATTCAAGTGGCATCTTTACTCTCCAAGCTACTCCTTTTGGGAATGGTTGACGGTGATGCTTTCCAAATACACATCATTTACAAACTTCATGCTTTTTTTCAATTTTTGGAAGCCCATGAACCATATTTTTCTGCTCCAATAATTTCAGCCATTGAAAGTTCAAGTGTCCAAGCCGTTTGTGCCACAACCAAGAGTCATTAGTCACCATTCGAAAATCTTTGTTATTTGAATGCTTGAATTTGAGAGGAAAGCTTCTATTCTCCATTTTCACCTTTGCTATGATTGAATTTTCAGCCTTTTTATCACGAATAATGCAATAACCATCATTGAAAAATAGAGAATAACTATTCTCTAAAAGCTGTCCAACACTTAGCAAATTTTGGTCCAAGTCCGGTACATGCATGACATTTCGAATAAGTCTAGAGCCCTCTTTGTTTGAACTCCAATTCTTCCTTTTCCCTTCACATTTACTACATCTCCATTTCCCAATCTCACTTTTGAGTTTGAATATTCCATATCAACAAAGATTCCATCATTTGAAGTCATGTGATTTGTGCATCCACTATCCAAGTACCATTGAGTTTCATTTGAGCAATTTGAAGTTGAGAAACATACTTCATTTGTTGATTCCGGTGCATTCAAGGAAGCATAAAACAAACTTGATTCATCCTCCTTCTCGGCTACACAATTGGCTTGTTGAGTATTCTTTGCTCTACAATCCTTTTGCACATGTCCAAATCCTTTACAATTGTAACATTGTGGCCTCCCTTTAAACCAACAATCATTTTCATCATGGCTACTTCTCTTGTAAATTTTGCACCTTTGTGATTGATTTTCTCCACTAAATCTCCTTTAAAAATTACTTCTACCTCTACCTCTTGGATTTCTTCCTCTTCCCCAACTACTTCTTCCACCTCTACTTGACATATCTATCCTCTTTTCATAATTTTGGGGCTGCCTTAAGTTGCTACTTGATCCAACATTTAGTTTAGATTGAAATGCACTCTCCATTGATTTTCGGAACGTCGATTCAACATTTGTTCAAATGATTTCAATGAACCCATCAACTCCTCAA